ACTTTTACTCTCAGTGATGATGGCAAACATGACAAATAGAAAGGCTACTCTCCCTAATGGGGGCACAGATGGCAGTGAAAATCTGATAGAACAATCCATCTCCAAAGCTAAAAGTGTTGCCTTTAGTAATACATTATCTTTTGCTCCAGTCTGCATACACCAGTGTGATGGTCCATAGCAGGAAACGCACTACTCTCCAGCTGTTGGGGCATTATAAATCGCATAATGCATTTCCTGCAGGTGGCTAACACTGAATGCTGGGACATCTAGCTACTGAACAGATGGAGTGCTGCCATCTTCTTGTGTAGCCTGCACTCTGTAACCATACTACCTTCCTATTGAAGAAAAAGTAAACAAACCTATAGGATCTTGACTTTCACCTTTATATACAGTACACATGTGGGTTGTGCTGAGAAACAGTCCTGATTTCTATTGTTATACACTTCTGCGACATTCACCTGCTGAACTCTGCTACAATGTGACAGGTGTGTCCTCCCTATAAATATTCATGTTCCAGTTCCTGTTCTCTCCTGTTTGTTGAGCTGGGAGGGTCAGGTTTAACCTTCAGAGAGACGGAAAGAAACCGAGACACCTGTACCAGGCTCATCGAGACTCCTGTACCTGGGAGGACGATATAGAAACCATTGTGTATCTTGAGGCTTTTCTCATAGAGACTACAACAGATCTGAATCTACTGAAGATCTTGATGCTTGGTTGACCCCAAAACATCTGGTCACTTAAAGGAAAGCAAAGTAGACTGAAACCATTTTGGAAGTTGAACATTCATATTGATATTAGTACTTCTACATCTATTGTTGAGAGTCAGACGACGCGCAGACGGATCTGAGACAAAGCTGGGAGATAATCGGACACCTGTAGCCAAGGGAGGGAAACAAAAACCTTGGTTCTAGGGCAACGGAACATTGAGAACGCGTAAGTCTCGGAGTGTCCATTTCTTGTCTCAGTTCAGTGATCCCATGACTTGGCATAGGAGCCAAGCTCAAACAATACTTTTCTCCTGTTGCCATTATTATTATGCAATTTTTTTTATTATTCTTTTATAAGGCATCTATTCCACTTCTGGCTTGTAGCTTCTCCAAAGTCTCTTATTCCCATTTGAATAATGCAGGTGCTATGTAAGACAGCAGGTGTCCTGTTGTGGAAGTATTATAATTACTCATAGCTGGCACCAGGCCACCAGAGTTGGAGCTGGTCTATGAAACGACTGCCTGTTTGCTGGTGTGTATTACTGGTTTTTAATTAAGATGTATATCAGTGTGGGCTTTGTTTATTGAAGTAGTCAGGGGGAGCATGGGAATCGAATTGGAGATACTACTCCTGGGCAGCCACCAGATCCATCTTGCAAGAGGGTGTAAATACTAGAAAAACACAGAGTCCCTTCACACCTTCTTTCCTTTGTCTGCTCTGTTCATCAGGGGATCCATGAACAGATCCTCTGCTGAATCAGAGCACTTTTGTGACATCCAAGCCTGTTCAGTTTTTGTCTTCATTTTGACAGTGGAGCTATGTTGGATCTACGGGCGGCCTAGCATCAGTTTACATCAAGCTACCTTGGATATGACTTGTCCGGAAAAACGGAAAAGGACTGTGTCCATTTCCATATTTTTTTCCAGACCTGGATGGATACTGTTTAAATCTGAAATGTCCATTTACATCTGTCTGTCCATGAATTTGCATGGAGCTTCTGATCAGAAAAACTGAGCTGATCAGAAAGTTGGCTTGAAAACATCCAAAAGAGAAGGGGAACCACTAAGAGTATCAGTGGGTCAGCAAATTATGTCACATTTACGGAAGGCGCTCACCTCCTAAATTAGATGGTTAAACACAGTCTTGCGGCTCACAACAAGCAGCCATAAGTAGTTACCTTTCACATGGTAAGGTGATTGAAGAATTTTTCCCAAATTATCTTTAATAAATAGGCGTCAGGTAGCTGTTTGGATTGGATCTAAGTGTCTAAGTGCAGCGGTCATAAAACTGAAATCAGACACCCAAAACCCAACATTGTCTGCAACGGTGGTCCTATGGCACCCACATGTGAGGAGGCCAAAGTACGTCCCATCCCTACTTTAAGGGTGAAGCCTACACATCCAAATGTACAATGGTCTGGGCAACAAAGGTCAAAGAAACTACACCTTTTTATCAGTTTAACAATTAATGAGTTTAAAATTTTGAGTTAGGTTCACACTTAAGATTAAACTTCTTCAAGCATTTTTGGAGCTTTTTTATGTGCATTTGTAATACAGATGTGTTTCCAGCTTAAGCATTTTTTTATCTAGTGAAACAAAAAGATAGTAGGAGAAGAAAAGGCAAAAAAATATGTGCAAAAAAAGATGTTTTAGTTGGTTTTCAGGTTCTCCTTTTGAAGTCTATAGGGACCAAAAATGTGACTCTGCAACAAAAGAGCTCCTGTACTATGCCAGCGACAGGTGCCAAGTGACAAAGCTTTGCATGGCCTAGTGACATGAATGGAATTCTACCTGTTGAGCGTTGTTGCGCTTTGGCATAGGCACCACAAAACGTTCAGATTTGAACACGGCCTTACTAAATATAAAGTGCAAATCCTATTTGGAAATTTGTCCTGTCTGTTTTGGCACCAATATAATGTTTCCAAAACCATGCATTGCATATTTGTTTCCAAACAAGATAAAGGCCTACCTTAATTTTTTGTGTATGCTGTTTTTTTAGCTGTTTAGCCAAAAAAAGTAAAAAAAAAAAATCACCAAAAAAGACTCGAAACACAAAAAAATCTATATGAATGATAGCAGAAAAAAATAAAAACAAAAATCACCAAAAAGACTCAAAACGCAAAAACTTTATATTAACAGTACATTTAAAAAATATAGCAAAAAAAAAAAAAGCTAAGGAGAGCAGGGAAAGGAAATATTTTATTTAATTAACTGTAGCAAGAGGTTAATAAATATATAATTAATTTTATTTTAAAACTTTTTTTTTTTGTCTGAATGGTTTCTGCATGTGCGGTTTTGATGCATTCCATTGTGTTTTTGATGCATTTTTGATGCGTTCCGGTGCATTTTTTTCTTTTCTTTTTTTCTTCATCTTAAATAAGGACATGTGCATTCTGGTGCATTTTTGGTGCGTTTGGTGCATTTTTGGTGCGTTTGGGTGTGTTTTACCATTTCAGTTTAGTACAGAAAAAATGCAGCATATTCCACTTCTTTTTTCTGGAACTGGCCACACTGGTGGGAACTATTGGCCATTAGAAACCATATAACTTACTTTATGTGTTTTTGATGCAGAAAAAAACGCACTGGACTGCATGTGATTTGAACCGGCCCTGTCACATGGGAGCAGGACCTCAGCTTTTTTTTTTTTAATAACTTAAAATGTAACTAATGGTATAATCTTTTTTCTGTTTTGGATAGAGTGGAGAAGGATTAGAGCCCCTGTCAGTTCTTTTGTGGTTTGTGTCCTTATTAGGGAAAGTCACCCACTCTATTTGTCCTGCTATCACTGAAAGTGAAAGTAAAAGAAAATCCCAAAGTTTAAGTTGTCACCTGAAACAGGAATAGAGTTGAAATCTTCCAGTGGGGACACTAGTTCTGGCGATGACAAGGGATTCCCTCACTTTTGGGGGTTTTCCTAAAACGTCCTGTTTTGCCTGTGGTACAGGAAAGTGAAGGGAAATCTCCTTATAATTATACAGATAGCAATAAAAAAAGGGGGTTATAACCCTCCCTTAATCCAAAATGAAAAAAAACAGCCCTTAGTTCTACTTTATGGCTACTTGCACACTATGTTTAGCCTTTGCCTTTACAATCCCGCCGTTTTGATGCGTCCGGGGAGCACAGGTGAAGTATACAGCCCTGCTGCCTGAGTGGTACCCACATTTAGGGCCCTGTGTGTCCAGGGACGTATGCGCAGAAAGCAGAATGCTCGCGTTCCAGACATATGTCCCTGAACACATTCACAGTCACCCAGTGTTCAGCCCTGTTCAGCCAAAGCATATTTCAGCCTGCCATAGACTTGGACAGGCTGCAGGCAGCAGGGCTGGACGTTGCTCCTGTGCCTCCTGGGTGTACGAAAACACCAGAATGCAAGTAGCCTATTAATAAATTATTTATTAAGGTTACAACAGTAGCATTCATTCATAAATGCGTGTAGAGTAGGACTTTTTGCTGTCACACTGACACAGGAATAACAGGCTCCAACCTGCACTAGCAGGCACTATCAGTCCTGGGTTTTTTCGCTTCTCAGCCAATGAAAGTTGACAGGTTGCTCAAAACACTATTAGAAATTATCATAAGCTCTTAGTAGAGTCACTAGTTACTGCTGAGGTTATTATTGGTTTTAATGCATTTTCATGTTGCAGAGTCGATTGTGCATTATCTCCAGGATACTTACACTATATTGCCAAAAGTATTGGTCGGCCTGCCTTTACACGCACATGAACTTTAATGGCATCCCAGTCTTAGTCCGTAGGGTTCAATATTGGGTTGGCCCACCCTTTGCAGCTATAACAGCTTCAACTCTTCTGGGAAGGCTGTCCACGAGGTTTAGGAGTGTGTCTATGGGAAGGTTTGACCATTTTTCCAGAAGTGCATTTGTGAGGTCAGGCACTGATGTCGGACAAGAAGGCCTGGGTCGCAGTCTCCGCTCTAATTTATCCCCAAGGTATTCTATCGGGTTGGGGTCAGGACTCTGTGCAGGCCAGTCAAGTTCCTCCACCCCAAACTCGATCATCCATGTCTTTATGGACCTTGCTTTGTGCACTGGTGCGCAGTCATGTTGGAACAGGAAGGGGCCATCCCCAAACTGTTCCCACAAAGTTGGGAGCATGAAATTGTCCAAAATATCTTGGTATGCTGGAACGAAGGGGCCAAGCCCAACCCCTGAAAAACAACCCCACACCATAATCTCCCCTCCACCAAACATTACACTTGGCACAGTGCAGTCAGGCAAGTACCGTACTGCCAAACCTAGACACCACCATCAGATTGGCACAATGCAGTCAGGCAAGTACTGGCAACTGCCAGTCCATCGGATTGTCAGAAAGAGAAGTGTGATTTGTCACTCCAGAGAATATGTCTCCACTGCTCTAGAGTCCAGTGGCGGCATGCTTTACACCACTTCATCTGACGCTTTGCATTGCACTTGGTGATGTAAGGCTTGGATGCAGCTGCTCGGCCATGGAAACCCATTCCATGAAGCTCTCTACGCACTGCTGTGCTAATCTGAAGGCCACATGAAGTTTGGAGGTCTTTAGCTATTGACTCTGCAAACAGTTGCTGTGCACTGTGCGCTTCAGCATGCGCTGACCCCGCTCTGTCATTTTACGTGGCCTACCACTTCATGGTTGAGTTGATGTTGTCCCAGTTGCTTCCACTTTGCTACCACTAACAGTTGACTGTGGAATATTTAGTAGCAAGGAAATGTCACGAATGGACTTATTGCACAGGTGGCAACCTATCACGGTACCACGCTTGAATTCACTGAGCTCCTGAGAGTGACCCATTCTTTCACAAATGTTTGTAGAAGCAGTCTGCATGCCTAGGTGCTTGATTTTATACACCTGTGACCATGGAGGTGATTGGAACACCTGAATCCAATGATTTGGAGGGCTGGCCCAATACTTTTGGCAATATAGTGTATTTCTATATAGGAATACACATGTTCAACAAGAATACACAACTTCAGCACTAAAGTGGCTAATATGTATAAGAGTCATATCCAGTTGCTGACCGCTGCATGTATATATACTCTGACAAGTTGGCCTTTCTGCGCTGGATAACGTACTTGTACATGATCTGGCTCTTCCGGGTAGGGACACGCACAATCAGTTGTCTGCCGACCTGGCTATTCACTCCAGCACATGCTGATCAGCAGAGTGAATGACAAGAGAGAAAAATTAGAAAATTGAGAAAATGCAGATTGTTTTCTGAATGGTACTTGTGTTGAATGCGCAACCCCCTGTGTTCACGAAGCAGCAGAGCATCCAGTCATGGGACCTGGAAGCTAGCAGCAATCACTGGAATACCGATGCCTATTAAAGTAATTTCCATCTTTCACAAGGATCCCACAGGTATGGCACATATATACTTACAGTGGTCCAAGCTGGATCAATGAAACTTTGTAAAAATTGCCAACTTCAGCTTTCAAGCCAAACCTGCAGAGGTATAAGTTGTTACCTTCAAACAGAAGTAATCACAAGAAACAAATATTTTTGTGGACTGTAACATATACTAATTCAGTTATTGGCGGTCTGTCATCACTGAGTCTCTTACAATTTTTCAATTTGTCTAGTTGTAGTAGACTGTTGTGCCATGTTAACCATTCATTAATTCAGAGTTTACAGCTGGCCATACATTGTACAAATTTCATGCCCGACATGCCTTGATTGAGAAATTGAAGGAGCCTGGTGGAAAATTGTTGGCCAAAAAGAAGCTGCATCCAATCAGATGTAGTCACCGTTTAGGTATTTTGACAGCTAGCGGGCCAGCTGTCAAAATACATTAGGCACAGTGGGAGATTCATCCATCTGCTCTGTATAGTGTGAATGGAGGAATATGTTCAGCTTGCAGGCTGAACAAAAAAAAAACCTCAGTGTTTGGCCAGAAAGTATTACCGCAAGTATTAGTATGGGTATTACCCATTATTGGCTAAGTTTAATTAGTTTCAGGATATTTCACATTCCTTCTTCAGGCTTTATAAATGTCAAAGCCTGACAAAGGGATCTGAGTTCTTCTGAAAGCTTGCATCGTTAATGACTCAGGTGAACAAATAGAGGTTAATTCATCTAGTAATTTAATCCAGTTTGCTAATTGAAATGTTTGAAATACGGAAGCGTCTGACCAACCAATAACTACAGTACATGTGAGCAACCTAAATCCCACACAGGTATATGGCTGGTTGTTTTGAATAATCCTGATAAAACAGAGCAATGGACTCATGTAGGTACAATTTGATGACATGTTTACATATTGCATTTCAAAGTCATTTTGCATTCAGGTATGCAGCTGAAGAGGCAATACAAACAGTTCTGCAAATTCTATGGGAACCTGGGCTGACTTGCCCATTCAACTCCCTGTCTTCTTTGACTGTCATCTAGACACACTTTTGTTTTACAAAAAAGAGCAGAGACAGATTTTTAAAAAAAATATTCTTAGACATGCTCACATGTTGTAAGTAAAATGAAAGAAGAAAAAAAAATAAGCGCTATGGCTTGACAATAAAAGAGCAGCTAACACAATACTTTAGTACAAAGTACTGCAAAATCAAAAAGGAAAAAGTGCAGCGCTATATAAACATATTAGTCATAGATTTTTAGTATGCAATTAAAAAGTGGCAGTCTTTCACCAAAAATCATGAAGTGCAAAGAAAAACATAGTGAAATTAATAATTCTATATATAGATATATATATATATATATATATATATATATATATATATATACAGTCAGGTCCATAAATATTGGGACATCGACACAATTTTAACATTTTTGGCTCTATACACCACCACAATAGATTTGAAATGAAACGAACAAGATGTGCTTTAACTGCAGACGGTCAGCTTTAATTTGAGGGTATTTACATCCAAATCAGGTGAACGGTGTAGGAATTACAACAGTTTGCATATGTGCCTCCCACTTCTTAAGGGACCAAAAGTAATGGGACAGAATAATAATCATAAATCAAACTTTCACTTTTTAATATTTGGTTGCAAATCCTTTGCAGTCAATTACAGCCTGAAGTCTGGTACGCATAGACATCACCAGACGCTGGGTTTCATCCCTGGTGATGCTCTGCCAGGCCTCTACTGCAACTGTCTTCAGTTCCTGCTTGTTCTTGGGGCATTTTCCCTTCAGTTTTGTCTTCAGCAAGTGAAATGCATGCTCAATCGAATTCAGGTCAGGTGATTGACTTGGCCATTGCATAACATTCCACTTCTTTCCCTTAAAAAACTCTTTGGTTGCTTTTGCAGTATGCTTTGAGTCATTGTCCATCTGCACTGTGAAGCGGCATCCAATGGGTTCTGAAGCATTTGGCTGAATATGAGCAGATAATATTGCCCAAAACACTTCAGAATTCATCCTGCTGCTTTTGTCAGCAGTCACATCATCAATAAATACAAGAGAACCAGTTCCATTGGCAGCCATACATGCCCATGCCATGACACTACCACCACCACCATGCTTCACTGATGAGGTGGTATGCTTAGGATCATGAGGAGTTCCTTTCCTTCTCCATACTCTTCTCTTCCCATCACTCTGGTACAAGTTGATCTTGGTCTCATCTGTCCATAGGATGTTGTTCCAGAACTGTGAAGGCTTTTTTAGATGTTGTTTGGCAAACTCTAATCTGGCCTTCCTGTTTTTGAGGCTCACCAATGGTTTAGATCTTGTGGTGAACCCTCTGTATTCACTCTGGTGAAGTCTTCTCTTGATTGTTGACTTTGACACACATACACCTACCTCCTGGGGAGTGTTCTTGATCTGGCCAACTGTTGTGAAGGGTGTTTTCTTCACCAGGGAAAGAATTCTTCGGTCATCCACCACAGTTGTTTTCCGTGGTCTTCCGGGTCTTTTGGTGTTGCTGAGCTCACCGTTGTGTTATTTCTTTTTAAGAATGTTCCAAACAGTTGTTTTGGCCATGCCTAATGTTTTTGCTATCTCTCTGATGGGTTTGTTTTTTGTTTTTTCAGCCTAATAATGGCTTGCTTCACTGATAGTGACAGCTCTTTGGATCTCATCTTGAGAGTTAACAGCAACAGATTCCAAATGCAAATAGCACACTTGAAATGAACTCTGGACCTTTTATCTGCTCATTGTAATTGGGATAATGAGGGAATAACACACACCTGGCCATTGAACAGCTGAGAAGCCAATTGTCCCATTACTTTTGGTCCCTTAACAAATGGGAGGCACATATGCAAACTGTTGTAATTCCTACACCGTTCACCTGATTTGGATGTAAATACCCTCAAATTAAATCTGACAGTCTGCAGTTAAAGCACATCTTGTTCATTTCATTTCAAATCCATTGTGGTGGTGTATAGAGCCAAAAATGTTAGAGTTGTGTCAATGTCCCAATATTTATGGACCTAACTGTATATATATGGTATATATATAATGAAAAATTATAAGTGCAAATTAGTGAATATACAGAGTCCACAGAGGAGCACAAATGGCTGATCAATAGTCCACAATATTTCAAAAATGGCAGGAAAATCCAAAGGCAAAGGATCTTCTCAGAACTTGACCAGGGTTAAATGTTGGGAAAATTAGAGAAGTCTCCAGACCAAGGATCATGCAAAGCACACCACTTGATTGAGACTGGCAGGGGCTTACCAGAGCAATAGGGCTGCTAATATATAGTGGTCAGAAGTGCTTAAGTTGTTCCTGTGAGTTCTCACATCCCCATAGCTCTCCTCCAGACCCACTGGTAAGTGTAGTATCTTTGGACAGGCTATCTCTCAAGTCACCACTTCTGAGACCACCAGCTCATACACGTGGTCACAGGTTATAAATGAGCATCATATTGCAGTGAAAAGGGAGAGAAAATACTCACCATAGTGAAGATCCACATAAAAAAGTGAATTACACCAATGCACTTATAAACATATGATAAGAACCTCTTTCAATATGCAAAGCGAACATCCATCTGCCAGAATCCAAAATGGCCATGGCTAGGTCACACATGCTTGGCTTGGCATGTGTCCCGGCTCCACCATACATGTTTCATCATAAGTGACATCATCAAGGGCTCAAGCCGTACATGATAATTGGTTTAAATGATACATTTTATGTTTTTCTTTGCACTTTATGATTTTTTGGTGGGAGGTTGAAACTTTTTATTTGCATACGAAAAAGTTGTGACTAATATATATATTTGTTTTTTTTATAACTCCTTTATTTATACATTTTTCTGGTAATGTAGCCAAAAATCATACAATAGAAGGTACATAGAAGCTAAAAAACATATGGCAATAAATGAGCCAAGAATAACAAGTAAACAAGCAGCATTATGGTGTAAAGCGAAATAGGCAACAACATAATAAATCAGTTATGTGGTCACAGTAAGGCCCCAGAGTAGCTAAGAAGGCAAAGGTCTAATCACAAGCAACCAGCTGCACGGGCCATATGGGAAACCAGGGCATCCCGAAATCTCAGAAAAGGGGAAAGGAGGTGCCACAGAGAGACCTCAGGTAGCAGACAGAGAAGCATTTCCGATATAGAACTCCCCGCAGATCGGGAAACCAACGAGGGAGACTATGGATACACAGGGGAGTCAGAATAGGAAGAACAACAGGGTGTAAGGAAAGGAAAAAAGGAATGTGACTAATATTTTTTTATAGTGCTGCACTTTTGATATTGGTACTTAAAAAAATCTCCATTTTAAAATACAGAATTTTTAGTATTGATAGTAAGGTCTAGAGAGGTTTTTTTTTTAACTTCCTGCCCCAGAAACACAAAAGCCATTGGGA